GGGGGGTTTGAACGATTTATGGTAACACAGCCTAGCTACCTTTCATATAGACCTTGGACCACTTTGAATTGTACAAGGAAATCTATTTCCTATTCACTCGGCCCCAACCAAGTATTGCACCCTGGAGTCCTTGACCTGTCGTAGGGTAGCAAAATGTCTATCCTCAAGATACTTCGAGGATCACTAAGCTCCTAAAAGCATACATCTATTTCATTCCTGGTTGCATAAAGGGATTTGTGTTGGAACGTCCCCAACTCTATGCCTTAGTTGATCCCTTGTTTTTAATCCTTCCCGCCACACACACACCGCATTAACAATCTTACTTTTGATGGTGTTTTCATTTTCCGAAAGAGCTCCTTGTTGGTGAGTGCTCATTGCTTCACACAAGGATTTCACAGTGAACATTCCAATCCTAGTTTTAAGAATCAGTCCTCATTGATGATATGTCTACCCTCACAGTAATAGCACTTCCTGAAGTTCCCAACCCTAAAGTCTTACCTGAAGGTTCCAAGAGCCTCCACCCTCCCCAATGCACCAATGGCCCACCACAGAACCTTCCTTCAATTTGAACAGACTAGCATATTGGACTTTCAATGGTTCATCACCTGCCCAGATACCAAAACCTGACCCTGTTACCTCTGCCTACAGAGAGCTTAAATGTGATTTTCAAAGACCTTCTAAGTTGTTTGGATGCTTTTCCACAATTCACAGCTTTGTTCCCTTGGGTACCAGCCCAGAGTGTCAGTTCCATATCTTGCCTCTATCACACTTCTCCACAAACTGTAGGCTCTGCAGCATACCTCTGTAGCCACTAACCCTGCAATGCTTTGTTCATACATCTCAAGTCTTTCCAGTTCAAACAGCAAGCCTCTTGCTTCTACACAACACCTTCCAGCTAAGCAAATGAATTTTCTTCTTATTTTGTATTTGCCCCACAAAAGAACCCTTACGAGTCTTTCAATCTTCAGAATCATTGCAGCAGGAGCAGTCAGCAGAGAGAAAATTTTGACAGGCAAGTTTTGTAGTGTACTCTATGAAAATAACTCTTCCTTCCTGAGAATAAGCACTTTCTTCTCCACGATTCCACTCATTGTTGGATCAGTACATTCACAGTATTCCATACTGTCTTCTCTTTAAAACCTGCTTCTAATGGTAATCAGTATCTAGTTGGTAAAGTACATAATGTGGCTATAAGCCTACAACAGTATAACTCTTCTCCACCTTCAAGTCTTCAACACCTAGGGGTTTTTCAGCCCCATATCAATTACTCTCAACATAAAAGGAACCAACATTGTTGATTTTCATCAAAGTTCTTCTGAGACTTCCATCAAATAATTATCAAAAGAAGGGTCGAAAATTACTACAAAGCACTGCTGTGGTATTACAGTTGGCTCTGCAACCATTGTTAATGATGATAATATGGAGTACAATTCCATGAGATGAAGTACTTTGAGATAGAGATGAATGTTTGTTACTTTTAGCAGATGGCTAGTCACACTCTAGAAATCGGTAAATGGTGGCGTGTCGTTATCAAAACAGAGTGTTTATATTCTTCTCAACATTCCTGTTAAAATAATCCAGAAGTTATTAGTAGTAGGTTCATAGATAGGTGTAGAAAGGCGATAATTACTTTCAGTCTTACCTCATACTTGTGGTCGGTGATATGGCTTTAAGCACGAGTAATTTCTAATTTAGGTATATAGCTTGAAGTCTAAGTAATTCTAGTCATTTCTAACTAGCCTAGATAAAGATCTATGAACTATACAATTTTCAATCAACTCAATACAAAAACAAAGTTCTTTCTCATAATTTTATCTTCCGTGGTCTATATTCTTCTTTATATTTTGCTTTTTATCAATATCTTTTTCTTTTTGTTCCACGTTAGTTCTTAGACTCCAACATATTTTAGTATCAAAGCTAGGTTGTTTCTTCCACTTAGCCACCAAAATTTTAGTGTTTCCCGTCCCTTCCCATCCCAATGGCCAACAACTCAACAATATAAATACCGGCAATTTCAACTACGCCCAAAACGCTAATCCCAATTTTCGATGGTGAATGTTATTTTTTGGAGTTTGCAAATGAAGACATTTTTAATGTCACAAGACTTATGGGAGCGTAAAAAGAGGTTAGACGTACCGAATGCGACGGTAACAACGAAAAAGAAAGAAAAATACAAGTACAAGAAGAAAATAAAATGCCAAGGCACATCTCTTTATTCAACAAGGGGTAATCAAATCGATTTTCCCAAGAATTTTGGTTTCTAAAACTTCTAAAGAAGCTTGGGATATTCTCAAAGTAGAATTCCAAGGATTACAAAAGGTAATCTCCATTAAACATCAATTTTTATGGCGTGAATTTGATGATTTATTCATGTAAGAAAGTGAATCGATCTTTTCTTATGGAGATACCATTACGGATAGAAAATTTAATGAAATTTTTTTAAGAAGCTTGCCCTCAAATATGATCATGTGGTGGCTGCTATTGAGGAGTCTAAAGTGTAAGAAACTTTAAACAATAGCGAAATAAAACATACATCCAGCCATAATTGAAAATGCCGAAAAAAGCCGGATATCCAGTTCCTGAAAAACCGGAATATTCTGCAGCATATATCAGCCAAGGGTCGGAATTAAGAGGTGGATAATATCGGCAAATACCGGAATATTCCATGAATATCCGCGGAATTTCTGCAGATTGGAGTGATTTTTAAAATATTGGATTTTTTAGTAAATTTACAACCTTTGCCATTTATTTCTTCAAAATAAATCATGGAATTCATTGAGGATTGAACTCAAGACCTCCCATTTACTTTAAAGTGAGTGCTCTAACCAACTGAGCTATGAATGTTGGTTGCTATAAATCATAAAATTTTACTATAACTATTGTTTGATTCAAATAAACAAACTTTATATCATAATTGATTTTTTCAACTATGATTTATAGTTTATACCATAGTTGAAAATGCCGCAAAAAATCCCGGATATTTGGCGGAATATTCCGTTTTTTAGGTATTCGGCACAGTACGGCAGACTGTATGTACCAGGTAAATTAACCTCACCAAATCCGTTCGAAAAATACGAATATCCGGTCAACACCGAATATTCGTCCGAATAATTCAGGAACATAAACCAAATTTCTTACTGTTAATTAAAAAAATGAATTTTTTACTATTAAGCCAAAAAAAACCTTAATTCTCGAAATCTCTTTTTCTTATACAGTCGAAATCTCATCTCTTTTGATTTTTTAAACTAAAAACGAATCTTCAATTGTTGATACAGTCGAAATCAAGCAAATTATTGAACAAACTTTTACTTTATGTCTTGTTCGGTCGGAAAGCTCGAAATCATTGAACCAAATTCACTCTATAAATCAACTAATCAAGTGTTCTTCACCTCTTGAAACAAATTCACATTTCTTTCTTCAATTCGACTA